AAAAAAAAAAAAAAAAAAAAAAAAAAAAAAAAAAAAAAAAAAAAAAAAAAAAAAAACGTGGTTCTCATCGAGTAATATGTCCAATAAAACATACAACTTTTTGTCCTGTGTCTTGTTTCCATTTTTGTCTGTTCTATTTTGGGTATACGAAGCCGATTGATTACCCAAAAGTGACAGCTGAGTCGTGCTCGATTTCAAACCGGCAGTACGGTCAGGCTCCCCCAAACGAATGGTTCAAGCCGGCGCGTCAGATAATCGGCAGGACTCGTAATTGGTTCCGCCATAGAGACCAAACCGCTCAAAAGCCCTTAATTATTTGAGAAACCGTTGCCATTCGGATGTGTTCCTCATTTTCTTCATCCCTTCCGCTACCATTGTCAATAGTTCTTCTTCTTTATTACTTCCTCTGTCAAAATCAGGGCCGACAAGGCGATGGCCGACATGGGTTTCCGGAATGTGATAGCATCCATGGATCCATTGGCTAACTCCCGTAAGATACCTCTGCTCAATGCCACTGCCATTGGGGAGTCTGCTGATACCCAAGATGATCATCTCATTATACCGGATCATCAATTCTCTTCCCGTGCTTGTATTTCCTCCCACGATCAGGTTCATTTCTCTTAATTTCATTATCATTGATTCGTTTTTGTGCATGATCTCATCTGGGTTTGCTTTGCTTGTGTTGAATCTATTACTCTGTTAGTATTTGGAGATGTACAATAGGTCCATTGATGACCCTTCTGGATTTTGGTCCGATATTGCGGCTTCTGAGTTCTTTTGGAAACAGAAATGGGATCAGAAAGTCTACTCTGAGAATCTTGATGTCCGGAGAGGTGAAATCAAGATAGAGGTGAGCCTCAATTCTCATGATCTTTGCTTTCTGGCTTGTTTAGTGTGAGATCCATGTCAGTTCGGAAGGAGAACGAAACGTTTTTTACAAGGGTGTGAAAATCTCTTCCTAGTACTAGATGTGTTTTAAAAACGTTGAGGAAAAGCTTACTGAGGACAATATCTACTAGCGGTGGGCTTGAGCTGTTACAAATGGTATTAGAGCTAGACACCGAGCGATGTGTCAATAAGGAAGTTGAGCCCCGAATGGGGTGGATACGAGGCGGTGTGCCAGCAAGGACTTTAGACCTTGTAGGGGTGGATTGTGAGATCCCACATCGGTTGGGGAGGAGAATGAAGCATTCTTTATAAGGGTGTGAAAGTGGATTGTGAGGTCCCACATCTGTTGGGGAGGAGAACGAAACATTCTTTATAAGGGTGTGGAAACCTCTCCCTAGCAGACGGGGTCGGGGTGTGTAATCCCACATTAACTGGGTAGGAGAATGAAACATTCTTTATAAGGGTGTGGAAACCCTCTCCCTAGCAGACAGAGTCGGGGTGGATTGTGAGATCCCACATCGGTTGGGGAGGAGAACGAAACATCCTTTATAAGGGCGTGGAAACCTCTCATTAATAGACAAAAAAAGACAATATCTACTAGCGGTGGCCTTAGGCTGTTACATATATTCCTGGTTTCGTTTACCTTTCTTTTATCATTAATTAGAACAAAAAGATCACTCATTTCTCTTTCTCCTTCTAATACTTCTCCATCCCGACCAGTGGTTCAAAGGTGGAATCACCAACATTTGTTACAACTGTCTTGATAGAAACATTGAAGCTGGACTTGGGCAAAAGGTTGCTCTCTACTGGGAAGGAAACGAGCCTGGTTTTGATAGCTCCTTAACTTACACTCACCTTCTAAACAAAGTTTGTCAGGTTATTGTAAACTCCTTGTTTCTTCATAAACTCGAACAACCCACAAATTTTAATGCCTCTTTTGGTCTGACTTTGAGCTTATCCATCTGCCAAAGCTAGCAAGCTTCTTGAAAGCTAATGGAGTCAGGAAAGGTGATGCTGTTGTGATCTATATGCCCATGCTAATGGAGCTTCCAATCGCCATGCTTGCCTGTGCTAGAATTGGTGCTATACATTCGGTACTCATCAACTTTACTCCTTGTCCACCTACCTCGAATTCTCTTTGATTTTCTTTATTATTTCAGGTTGTTTTTGGGGGGTTTTCTTCAGAATCTCTTGCTCAAAGAATCATAGATTGTAAACCAAAAATTGTGATTACTTGCAATGCTGTTAAAAGGGGTTCTAAAGTTATCCTTCTTAAAGACATTGTGGATGTTGCTCTCACAGATTCAGCACAAAATGGAGTCTCTGTAGGTGGGAACTTTGGAAGTTTACTGTTGTTGTTATAATTATACTTTCTGTATGTGTTTGCTTTGTGTTTATGAAACTTTGCTATGATATTTCTTTGTTGAAATTGTAATTTTCTCTTCGTATTCGGCTTTGTTTTGTATGCATTAGAATCATTGTAACCTTGACAATGACATTTTATGAGATTTCATATTGGTTGGGGAGGAGAATGAGACATGCTTTACAAGGGTGTGGAAACCTCTCCCTAGTAGATGTGTTTTAAAAACGTTGAGGGGAAGCCCGAAAGGGAAAGCCCAGAAAGGATAATATCTGCTAGCAGTGGGCGTGGGCTGTTACAAATGGTATCAGAGTCAGATACCGGACGATGTGCCAGTGAGGAGGCTGAGCCCTGAAAAGGGGTGGACATGAGGTGGTGTGCCAGAAAGGACGTTGGGCCTTGGGGGTGGTTGGGGCTCCCACATCGATTGGAGAAGGGAACGAGTGCCAGTGAGGACGCTGGGCCTCAAAAGGGGGTGGATTATGATATCTCACATCAGTTGGGGAGGAGAACGAAATATTCTTTATGAGGATGTGGAAACCTCTCCCTAGTAGATGCATTTTAAAAACCTTGAGGGGAAGCCCGAAAGGAAAAACCCAAAGAGGATAATATCTGCTAGTGGTGGGCTTGGGCTGTTACAAATGGTATCAGAGTCAGACACTAGGCGATGTTCTAGCGAGGAGACTGAGCTTCGAAAGGGGATGGACGTGAGGCGGTGTGCCAAAAAGGATGCTGGGCCTTGAAGGGGGGGTGATTGGAGTCCCACATCGATTGGAGAAGGAAACGAGTGCCAACGAGGACGTTGGGCCTCGAAGGGGGATGGATTCTAAGATATCACATCGGTTGGAGAGGAGAACGAAACATTCTTTATAAGGGTGTGGAAACCTCTCCCTAGTAGACGCGTTTTAAAAACCTCAACGGGAAGCCCAAGAGCGAAAACCCAAAGAGGACAATATCTGCTAATAGTGGGCTTAGGCCTATCAGTTACACATTTCTTCCTTGTAACCTCTTTCATCTCTTCCTGCAGCAACGTGCCTTACGTACGAGAACGAGTCAGCGCTAAAGAGAGAA